TAGTAGTGAACTTAATTATAATTTGAATTACTATCTACAGTTAAAAACACATGTTAGTTTGTGCACATGTAAGCTACTACAGTACTTCTACTATACTTTTCAAGCTAGTCGTCAGAGGAGTCATCCATCATGGAAGTCAAGAAGAAAAAATACTAGAATATTTTTTTTACTGAAATAGTTGATGGAAAGGAGTCTGAGGGGGTAGAAACTAGGGGTCCGCAACGCAACGGTATTTGAAAAACRTTGCACTGCAACAGTCCACAATGCATTTTTTCCATCCTTGACTGTTTCACAAAGCCATTGTGTAATGAAATGTAGTATAATATTAACATAATTACTTGGTTGCAAAAATYTTAACCCTACTAGACGAGCAGTGTACCCTCCTCAAATACAATTGCATTGCTGACCCCTAGTACTAGTAGAAACACTAAAAATCCAAGTTAAATTTTTGTGATGTAGACYGTTATACAAAATGAATGGCTGTTTTTAGAGGATAAACTGTTTCTTCCAGAAAATATACATAGCCACCAATAGTTGCTGTTTCTTTGAAACATAAAAGTTTCTTGCACAAAATACATTTTATGCCACTGGATGATGACAATTCGACTTCCACTTGCAGCGAACAGCAAAAGACCTAATCTGGTAACCCGGAGCCTCTGGGACCACGACTTCTCACGACGTCCTATGAATGACCCACATTTTCCTCTCTWATGTCCTTACTCGTAATACTACAGATAAAAAGCGCGRAAAGGATTCGGATTTTTTTGCGAGAGGGCATTCCAGAGGGTCATGTAACTCAACATGAAACTTCGAAGGCAGGTCGGCTTCAACAAGGCGCCGAAAGGARCAAAAATGACAGAAAATAGACCGTAATCGGTCGCAATTATGCACACGAACGCTTGACGGATTACCTTCGGAACTTTCAGCGTTCTTTACTCTTTCCACAGACCCAGACTCAGACAGACACGCATTCACCCCTCCCCAGAAACAAGAGACACAATAGTCGTAACAGTGAAGTAGTATGACTGCAATAACAAAATCATCCGTTAAGAYCAGATCTCGTGGTTGCAGTGCGAGAACAAAATGTTTCTGCTTCGTTGTTATCATTCTACTCATCTGGACAATGTGGGGGTTTGATAACGATTTTACCGTGCAATTATCCCGAGAATACGAGATTTCTCCTAGTGCCAACGAGAATTCTGTCCCTTTTTTATCATCGATGTTAAAAGAACTAGAAACGGGAAAAAGTCTCGTCACCAATCTCAACTTTCCAAAAACTAATGAAGAGCACTTCCGAAATTCTTTGGTTAGTCTCGAAAAAAAAGTATACATGTATCATCATACAATAAACTCATCKCGTGGGAAAGAAGGCGCTGTCGTGCTCGATATGTTACTTGCACATGTTTATGCTTACCACCAGGGTGCTATCTACGGTGGAAGTTGTGGTGAAGGGAATGACGTTGGTCGAGAGTCCGAAATTTCTCTAATTAAAGCTATCGGATTGGAACCCTTTTTGCAATTTGCTTGTCCAAGAGATCTAAAAACGAATGATCGGAAAAAAGTTATACCTGGAAAGAGCTACATACAGGATGGCACGAGGGCCTTYACACCAGAATATATGGATATTTTGAAAAGCCTGATTAAGTATCCTGAAAAGCCAGAAGACCAAAAAAAGATGAACATCATTGTAGTTCACATGTCTCGTGGAAAACATTTTACACCATGTGCAAGGGCACCACACAGAGGATTCGAGCCGTATCTCCCCAATAAACATTATCAGGTAAGCACAAAAACGAAGGTACAAACAGGAGTGGTCAAGCGTTCTAATCTTTCTAACGATTTGACAATACTTGTTTTGCAGCTGTTGATCAATAAGTATTTAAAACCGGATCAGGAAAACAAAGTAATCATTTTYTCGCAGTYAGGTKCTTTCGAAAAGTTTGACGAATTCCGAGAAAAGGGCTACGAACTTCATATCGACGAAGACATAACAGACATATGGAGTGCCGTTCTTTTATCCGACGTGTTCATCATGTCTAGAAGCAGYTTTTCATTTGTTCCTGCCATGGTTGCTAACGATTCAACACAAGTTGTTTATACACCGTTTTGGGATAAACCCATTCGAGGATGGGACATTGTCCGCTCGGACATTCAGAACCAGTCTGACGCCGAATTTCAGCGTTTAAAATCTACATGTGAAAAGAAACCCGATAAATTGGCAAAGTTTCGGAAGAAAGAAGGTCGGTGAACAATAGCGGGACTAGGGTAATATGATGCAATTTAGCAGAATTTGAAACTCGAAAGTTCAGATTCAAAATGATGTATTCGATAATTTATTTGTTTGCTCTCCTCCAGCAATTTCGATCTTTTGAGTTTGATTATTTCCTTCTAAGTTAACCAACAGAAAGTGATGCTTACAAACAAGCCTTTTTAGCATAATATTTTCATTGAATACAAGTCATTGTCGCGCACAACGGTGAACGGCATTTTTGAACACAGTATTTTGCAATGGTACGACTMATTTCTCATCAAATGATTTCTATGAGTCAAGTGAACATAGTGAGAAGCATTATATCGAAACATCAAAATGTGTTCATCCGTTCTTTTTAGAGCAGGTCAAAATCATCCAATTTGTCATTGTACTTCTGCACTGTTCTTCGAACCTTCGAAGAATCGACCCACGTGACATAATCTTCCATATTTTTTGCAACAAGAAATGCAGGATCTGTAACACAGTGCGGACCAACCCGTATCTGCCCCGATTCAATGAATGTGATTGCTGTTTTCAGTGTTTGCGCCATCTTTAGTCGTACCATTACCACAGGGAGTCTTCTTCGGCAGATTGCAGATGCGGTAATATCATCGGCATTTTTCAGCGACGTCGCCTTGTTTATCAATCCCAGATCCTCAAGTTTCGTAAGCAATTGATCTGTCATCGCAACTCGAAAGGGGTCATCATGTTTGAGCGTCTTCAGCTTTGCCGAAAGTTTAGTAACCATCCCACATATTCTTACATACGCTGTGTAATCATCTCGGTTTTGAATGTGATATCGACGCATTATTTTTGCTACTCGCAGATTGTCTTCCTTTTTCCAGGAATACAAATCGACACCACGAAGCAATTTCTTCTCATGGTACTTWAGTTCTCTCATGCTGCCTTAAACAATGACAGCGATAATCGTAAGCAATATTGTTTCCTTTTCTTATCTTCGTCGTGGGATTAATCGGCTTGTGTCTACGACTCTGAATCAAATGCTGAGTGTCGTTCTGTACTAACTTCGTGAAGAAATAACGAAACWGCGTTGGATAGTTGATGATCACGAGCGATACTGACTGATACAAACAATACAWTGGACCATGAGATCGGGTAATGTCGAATACAATACGTACCGGTACGTACGTGCAATTAATTTAGTTCTTTTTTGAGAATACTGTATGGTTGATTCATTCGATCCCTGGTTACGGTTGTGAGACATTAAACACMACAGAAACAAATTCATTCGTGTTTTGAGTATTGTACTGTACTTAGGTCTAGGTACAAGGAACTACGTAGTAATTCATATTCGTACCATAATTGATTTTAAAAAACAATAAGGTTTTGTTCTTTTTTAATCTACCGTACATACTTGAAGGTTCGGCAMCGTAGAGAGTCCTCTTAACGCTAGAAGGATTCAGGTTTTTACGCAAAAACCGAAAAGTTTAGGAAAATTGGTGGTTGTTGATGAACCATAAATTATTTTCCTTAGGACAGACCGCGTCTTTACCGAAATCTCGCTTTACTAAAAATCGTTTTGATTGGAGAAAGAAAATCCGAAAAACGGATAGAGTGCAAGACCATTTATTTCTATGTTTGACATGTTGGTTCTCATTCCACCAATCAGTTCTGTTCCTAACCGGCACCAAAGAAAAAGTGAGTAAGTTTTGTCAAGCAGCCTGCTGTCTCGAAAATTGAGAGCACTGCAATTCTCTCCGATGCAAACCCACACCTCTCTCGATTTGAGCTCGGAAAACGAGCGTCGATTTTAACCCATGCTGAAGAGACTCAATATTGGAAAAAGAATCTTAAATTCAGCAATCGGAACTCTTTCTTACTACGACCTTTCTCAGGTATGTTGGCATGARAAAATATATCAGACAATCGGACTCAACATGAAAGTGTGATGTGGGATGGGGTATTGRTGAGGAGCGATTCAGAACACACAGGGGAGGACTTTATTGGAGGATGGGAAAAAGGAGGGAGTGGATTGTTCACATCGGGATTGTGTCGGGAGAGTATCTTGACAGATAACATGCCACGAAAGAATCTCCGATGTTGCCTCTCGCTTCTAAATCGGTCAGAGAGACTTATCCGAAAATRTTCTTTTCGAGATTCAATAGATGAGGTCTAGATTTGCTTTTTCCTAAAAAAAAAGCCAGCAGCACACAACACGAGGAGGCGAGACGCGATTTAGACACAAACGAGTGCATAGCGTTAAACATTTACCATCAGTGCAGGGGCAAATGGCGATTCCTTTCCAGTTCATTACTTCACCATCCCATCATCATACTCGAACCGATTTTGAATCACGAGCTCCATTGCAGCTATTTTCCATCYCGCAATCACGTTACTGAGTCACGCCGTGCTTACATTGCGGATCGTGACAGAATWTCCATCGTGTTCTTTTTTTCTTTTGGACTTCTACCGTGTTGCTGTACTATCACAGTTACTACCCTTTGACAGATAACTTCGCTCTGACATTCTTTTTCCGCCGYTTCAAACTTGTAGACACATAGTACCACTCGAAACGTATTCGCAAAAAAWTATGACGACTTTAGATAACCACCACATCGTGAATAGCCACTCTTCTGTAGGCGCCATCCAAGTGACTGGCAATGATACCTCTATCAAGACCGAGAATGGGAAGGTTGTCGTCGATGAGGAGATTGACAGTTGTGAAGGGGAAGATTATGACGAGAAGAAGATGTTTCAGGTGGCGTTAGTCAATAGTGTGATGGATAAAGGGGGGAATGGAAACGGGAATTGTTTGCCGCAGCCGGAAGCGCCGGGCGAAATGAGCCCTCGGAGCAAAGCGCGTTATGCACTGAGGAAGCGAAGGCGACCCGGCGAGGAAGCTGCGCCTGCTCCTGAAATGGACATAGCAATAAAAACCCAGCAAGACACTGTGACCGACTTTGATCCACTCAATGAGTTGCAACATGTGCAGGATAGAAGGGGCGTAACATCCACATCACTGCAGACGATACAACTACCGTTGCCTCCGCCAATAAAGATCAAGCAAGAGCAATTACCGGTGCATCCTGTAAATGCTATGACTCATACTAGTATAACCATAAAGCAAGAACCGAAACAGGAACTTTGCACAGGGGCGAGTGCTGGGAGGCTTGCACAACCGGGGACAATATCGAAGCCGCTGAATACATCACAAGCGTTGCTCCCGTGTTTAGCCGCAACTATACCACARCAGAACAGGCAACAGTCGTTGATGAAATCCACCAATGTGTCATATCCTGCCAAACCTTCAGTCACGAAGAAGAAAGCACCACGTAAACGAAAGCCAAAAGCCCAAAAGGTAACTGCACAAACGAAGGTTGCCGAGAGACTCTCGACTCCTGTGCCAAATCCATTATTGGCCGCGAGCACGCCACCGGCGCACCCATCTATGAACCACTGTGCAAGGCAAGATGCAGCCATTTCTTCAACTTCGTCAGTACCTTGTCCGCTTCCTGTCCCATCGCCGTTAGATTTAGGCAACTCGATTCAGGTCAAGGCACCGAAGACAACTTCATACATCCCTCCTTTCGATCCTACCAAACTAACCAAGGTGTCTGAAACTTCAGTGTCCAGGATGGATCCTCCCCCAATTCAAAGCAGGACACGTGTTTTCTCAGTTGATTTGGATCGTRAGTTGTTTTATATTTCACTCTGGTCACTGAATGTATGACTCCTCTCTCTTTTGTTGCTTATYTCCCTGTTTCTTTGTGATTTTGTGATCTTGTGTTCCTTTAGCATCTACGTTTGATTTTTCAGATTTAAGCTCTATCACTGGTGGAAATCCAGACAAAGCCTCTGCCGACTCTGATTTACCCATATTCCAAGGCCGGGACCGTGCCTTTTCGTTCGAAGTATTTAATTTCGCTGGCGGCGATGACCTTCTACCCAACCCTGTATCGAGCACTCCAATGCTTCAAGCGCCATCGTTAGGTCCTGTAAGTGTTGAAGCCCAGATAAGTCGTCCCAGAGGAGATTCAATTATTTTCGATCCTGCTAGCTTTCAAGATGGTGGCATTCACGAAAAGAATGCTCTTGAAAAGGCTAGRTTCAAGGATTTGCTTCAAGTTGCACCTCCACAGCAGCCCCTACCACATCCCGCACGTCGTGTGTCAGCTCCGAGTGGTGGTGGCATAACGGGAACCTATTCAACTTCTCAGTCAAACAATCCATTGCCTCTCATGCTACCCCCGGGCTCATCACTCAACCATACAAATACCGTGATCGGTGGTCARAATCGCGTTTCACACCCAGTTCAAAGTAGCAACATAATAGTTACTGGGAGTAAATCGCGATCGATGCCCACAAACGCTAGTAGTGGTGGGCGCATTACTTCCTCAAATAGAAATTCTTTGAGTAACTCGGCACAAATGGCGACTTTGCCTAGCTCGCTCAGTGGCGGAAACTCATCAAATGCACAGAGTCCACCGACCTTTCAAATGGAATTACTCAACAAAGATGGTCGCATTGGAATATACTTACCGGAAGCCCGAAGGCTTCGTATCGCTAGATTTCATGCTAAACGCAAAATGAGGATATGGAGAAAGCGTATCAAATATGATTGCAGGAAGAAATTAGCGGACAGTCGACCTCGTATCAAAGGTCGTTTTGTGAAAAGATCTGATATGGATTAAATGATGTAGAATGTCTAAGATACTGTAGCMACAATTCTTTTTGTTGGACAATAGTTTCACAAATCCAAAAAKTCATACCGGTACCGTGCAAATAGATCATTGTAGAACCTCCTCATAATAATTGCGTGCCTAGTAGCAAAATTTGATCTTATCGTCTGTGCGATACTCTTTCTGTTCATACGCAAATGGAAACAATTTTTCGGATCCATTTACCTCCAGTCGTTTGTTTGAAAGACATTTTGAAGCTTGAACGTGGAAATGGAAAATCAATATCATATTTTTCTAGTTGGCGTACTCACTATGGGCTCAAGATGCTCTTAAAAAAGTTTCCAGTTCTAGACAAGGGCAACATAGTCCTCGCATACAAAAAAGCACACATAGAAACTCTCTCGCAGGAAATAAACGAATGAGAAAATGCAGTTGAAATGGAATAGGCAATTATAGTTGTAGTATTCAATAGAGATTATGCTTCGGGCGCTTGGGTTTCATTGTATGACGTGTTGGTGGTCGTTTTCTCGTTCTTTTCGATGATAATATCAATCGCAAATGCTCGTYGATTCCTTGCATGGGCCCATATCCTTAGGTCCATACGCAGTATAGTCAATTGACCCTTTCCCCTCATACTGTTTGAAATTATCAGTGTACATACGTCCCAGTTTTTTGGCTTGCTCATCGTACTTTTCTGGGTCTTCCCAAGTACTTCGAATGTTCAAGACGTTGGAACCTACACCATTCAAAGCAATAGGAACCTTGAACCCAAAGTTTTTGTCCTTTTTGAACTCTGCTTCTTCGATAGATCCATCTAAGATTGCATCGATGCAGGAGCGGGTTGTCTTAATGGACATCCGTTCGCCTTCACCGAATGGACCGCCTGCCCATCCTGAGTTGACCAAATAACAGTTGGTTCCATGAGTATCAAGTTTCCTTTGAAGCAAATCGGCATACACAGTAGGATGAAGCGTCATGAAAGCGGCACCAAAGCAGGTCGAGAATGTAGCTATTGGCTCCTTAACTCCACGTTCTGTCCCAGCTACTTTTGCTGTATATCCCGAGAGGAAGTGATATATTGCTTCGCCCGGACACAACTTCGCAACAGGAGGCAGGACACCAAATGCATCGCATGAGAGGAAAATGATATTTTTTGGATGTCCGGCCATCTGTTCCTTGTGCTGTAAACAGTAGAATCGTAATCAGAATTAGAGGTTGAATGTGACAGAATTTATTAGGCATTCGATCTTGTCAATAGCTCCTCGCTGTCATACTTACGTATCCATCGATATGAAAAATAGGGTAAGAAACGCGTCCATTCTCGGTGATTGATGTGTCAAAATAATCTGGAGAATCCGTATTGGGATCGAGCACAACATTTTCCAATAGCGCGTCGGTGTGAATAGCACGGTAAATATCTGGCTCTGTTTCTTCCGACAAATTGATTGTTTTCGCATAGCATCCTCCTTCAAAATTGTACACACCGTCTTCGTCCCAACCTGAGTGGCGAGAGGAAATCACAACAGAACAAGCCGAAAGGTATGAGCAGAGGACGGTCTATTGCCATTTTGAATCGCCAGGGAAGATATTGCTCACCGTGTTCATCATCGCCAATCAAAGCCCTGTGTGGATCAGCTGAAAGTGTTGTTTTACCAGTCCCAGAGAGGCCAAAAAAGAGACAGACATCGCCATCCTTTCCAACATTGGCAGAGCAATGCATAGGGAGTTGCGGTGGGTTAGATAGGGGCAAAAGATAATTCATCAATGAGAAAATTCCCTTTTTATTTTCYCCCCCATACCAGGTTCCGAAGATGACGGCCTTGCCCTCTTCGATATTAAAGACAATAGCTGTTTCGCTGTTTAACCCTAATCTCTCGTAATCTTTCACCTGATCTGCACAAGCATTGACAACCGTAAAGTCGGGTTCAAAGTTTTCTAATTCTTCCGAGCTGACGGGTCGGATGAACATGTTTGTACAGAAATGTTGTTGCCAAGCCATTTCATGCACGAAACGGACCTTCTTTCGTGAGGCTGGGGAGGCACCGACATAACAGTCAAAGACGTATGCCTTGTCGATGGTATTAAAATACCCSACGGCCTTCTCTTGCAGTTCTTTGAATACTTCTGGGGAAGTTGGTTGGTTGATATCGTTCCAATCCATGTTTTTTGCCGACTCTGATCCGGGGTTGAGAACGACAAACTTGTCCTTGGGAGAGCGACCGGTATACTTACCGGTAGATACACAAAAGGTGTCGCCRTATTTTGTCTTCGCTACCATTCCTTCCTTGTTGGACTGTTCGTGCTCATAAAGTTCTTGGTACGTCATGTTTCTAAAAATTGTAGTTGGGTTCGTGATTCCGAGCTTGTCGATGCCCGCCTTCTCGCAAGCATCTTTTCCTCGAAAGGTTTGTGACACGTGGTACGAATCACGGCATTCGGTATCATCATTGTCGTCCCACGCCAAAGAACTCTTTTGAGCCCGTTGACGRSTGACATATTTTTGACTGTCATAGAAAATGCTGCGACTGAAATGTTTTTTCTAACACCAATATGTGACGAGRTCATAGCAGATGAAATATATTAGTTACTTGGTTGATACAAATACTWCTAGTGATGGAGAGAAACATGGTCAGTACATATTGCTTCACGTACTACTAGAGGGTCAAATGCCGATGCATTCCAAGTCGCACAGTTCTGTGCTGTGGTRGCGAATCCACGGRCAGCCATCTTGGCACCTTGACGGAGGAGGTGTTTGTTTGTTGACATGCCGATAATCATAGTGAGCGAGAATTGTTCTTCTATGGGTARGTATGATAATAATAGAAGAGGATCGTCGTTGTTGCTCTCGTATCCAACAGGGCTGCAAGCGTCGATTCAAAGAACCTGCTGTCGTTAAAGAAACAGTTCTGGTTTTGATTTCTGTCGAAAACAAGTTTGTGAATGTTGGGAAAGGACCTACGCTTCTCGATGCTTCTAGATRGAATCAATGAGGCGAGCCGGTCGGAAAAAATGTGAGCGTCAGAGAAACGCAGGCACTGACACACGAGAAGATGATGATGGTGTATCGCGTTGCGGATTCTCGTGAAAGTCTCAATTTTTTTAGCTTGAGCAGWACGGTAATACKTAGTGTAYGGTATGGTACTGTACGTACCCTACAGAATAAAAATAAAAAACTGCTGGTAGCGCGCACGACTGACCCGGAAAAGTGACAGAAAAGTTGTCACTGTCACCTCAAGATTTGCGAACCAGGATAACTTAGAGAGTGAGTCGATTCCGGCGCACGAGAACTAGTATTCTCGGACAACCGTACCGGACGGTAGGCTGCGCAAAGGAAGTTTCGTTCTGTATCCGAAAGGCGCTCTTACCCGCTGGAGTAAAAAGGCACGCGTCGTCATCTGAAGGTCCCATCTTACTTCTACGACCTGTCCGGTGAATTTGATTGATATTATGGAGGTCACAGGGTCATCAATCAATCAATCAATCAATCAGTCAGTCAGTCACCCAATAACATCAAGCTTGCGTTCAGGAAGATTCGAAAGCTGTCAATCAAACACGTAATATCAATATTGCGACGCGTCATTGTTCCTGTGTCACTGTTACCGTGTCAAGCAAAGCAGACCGACTCTTTGTACCGAGAAATACCTCTGTCCGCCTGTTCGTGTCCGTGTAGTGCGATATCACCACTACCGTCGCGAAGTTATCATCTTTTTTCAARCAAAGCCGAGCAAAGAACTAARATTCATGGCGACCCGAGACGGCACGAAGGACGAAGCAAATGCTGGCRTGGTTGCCGAGCCAATGCCGGGGTACGAAAAAGACAACACAATGGCCATGTTCATCATGGCGGGAATGGTGGTTTCTTCCGCAGGTTTCGCYATGTACACAAGGCAGRCAGACTCTTTGCTAAAGCGAATGGGACGTGCTAGTAAARTACAAGGACTCGGAAACAGTGCTTCTTACAAGGTGGCGAACCCCAAATCGAAGCTTGTCTCGAAGAAGTCGTTAGAAACTAACAACAAACGAAAAACATTCCACGAGAAAGATGATATCTTTTGAAACACAAGAATCGTATTCGGGTCGTTGGCACAGTCAGTCGCGGGTCATGCAGGAAATCGATAAATTCGAATTCTATACCACACAACGAATCGAGGAACATTCGATCCAAAAGAAAAAAGGATGACGGATGTGACACTGCWWTTATAAATTCGAGCATCTTTGTGCTCCTAGAAGAGGGTCGTCTTTGTTAGGCAGCCATTAAGCAAGCCTAACGCAAAGCATAGCAATTGAAAATAGCAAAAATTGGTAACATGATTGTTGAGTCTTCGTGATGGATTTTCAGTATTCGAAGTACTCATAGTCTTCCATTGGTTCAAGCTCAGCTTCTAAAAATGGCGAAAATTCGAAATGCTCAGGAATCGAAAGCGATATCGACATGGACATGCTCATTGCAGTGTCGAACACTGTAGGGACATGGGATCTGGTTGGTGATTCGATTGGTAGAATTGGAGGTTTTGTTTGCAACGCAATCGGGACATTTGTTGGCGATAGGATAATAGGCGYTGGTTTATCTGTTGGTCGTTTCGATGATTGCTGCATCGGTTTAAGGGTTGGTATACAGGATGGGCATTTGGAAGCCTGGTCGGTTGGTTCTAYGGTAATATTTACAGAAGGAATTTCTGTTGGAGGCATACCTGTCGAGTTTACTGTCGGCGTTGGCGTAGAAGAATCAGATGGGTTTTTACTTGTGCCTCSAKAAGGTTCTTGAGATGGCAGAGATGAGGTTGTCAGTGCTTGGCAATGTCCTAGTATTGGGTCGCTTGATTGGCCCTGTGTGGTTGATTCGAAGCAGGGAAAGGCAGCACGTATTTCAGTTTTTTTTTTTCCATTCTGGTGTGAGACGATTTTGATGAACGAAGAACAATTTCTCGAAAAAAAAAAAATATATATTTGGAAAAACTTACAAACACCACCCAACCAACACTTTCACCCATTCGTAAGACTGGTGATGTGTCACATTCGTTGGTAAATGTGATGATGAAAACATTCAGTAGCGAAATTCCGTCTTTGTTTCTCCCTCTGAGATTGAGCTGAAGTGCTTTAGGAACCTGATCTTGCTCAATACTCGCTGCAACTTGTAGATTGTTGATTATTGACGAATATCGATATGATTCGCCATTGAAAAGTTCCCCATCTATCCTCTCTTCCACAAGAACACTATTTGCTTGATCCAATTCCAGTATACTAACGCTATCAATCACAACCGGAACTAAGTTGTTAGTCGRTGCCCCAAAGGGACTAACCAAACACGAGACGCCTGCCACTCCAAACCCGGTAGTGATATTTGTAGGGGGACATGTCGAACTAAAATCTAGAACAAATGTATACGTTGACGGGCTGCAAGCACAGATTTTGTCAGCACTGACACTRTCAATTCCTGTGTCGTGCTGCGCTCTTGCTAATGTTGTCGAATGAGTGTCATTCGCATCAAAGGCGAGAAGAACCAAAAGCCCCATCACTAAAATTGTGACTGTTTGGACTAGCGGCGATATCAACATTTGGAAATTGCATATTTTTATTTTTTGAAATCGATTGGGAAACAATGTGGATCGGCATTGAATATTTCGTCCTCTTCTGTGTCGTCTGAGCAGTTCTTTTTGTATGCCCGCAGTGGTCATCGCTCTTGTACTTCCTCAAGCTTCATTGGAAAAATACCACGATAGTGACGAGATTTGTTGTGGTTGTTATCAGAATTTAAAAGCGATGATCACCGATTTGGCTGTTTCGGATATGATGATGGTTGTGAATGTGGTCGTGGAAACGGCTGATGGGCGATAGACGGACTCCATGGATTTCCGTTGCCGCATTTAGTGGCTGGGTTGCATTTCATTCCACCTTTTAAGTAAAGCCTATCGGCATCGGATTTATTGTCGAACCCAAAAGCTTGTTACAACGAATTTTTGTCGCGCTGAGTTTCAAATAATTTTTCGGTSCACGTTTGCAAATTTGGCGCGTTAGCCTCAGTCGTGCGCTAAGATTGCTCTCAATAACCAAGGAATCCCTAACGACTAGCGACTAGAGATTCGTACAGCAAAAATAGTGGGGAAGATGAGAAAGATCTCGTACGTATTGTAGGTACTCGTACGAGTATCGTACGTAGGTAGGTACGTAGCGGTACCCAAACGAATACACAACATTCTTATTTGTCGTGCGTAGTGCTTGGTCAAATCAAATAATGGTTTTTCGACGTCAAACAAAATGCAAAACAGGACATATTCCAACATAGCTCTCATCAACAGCATTAACTCCATTCATCACTCTGTATCGAAACAATGACGGCTAATTCGAAGAAGTACGACATTGTTCTTTTTGGTGTAACAGGGTTCACCGGTAAACGTAAGTCACTACACTCCGGAGAACAATGACCGACGCACACCTCTTGGTACCGAGAATCGGACCTATCGTTACAGTACTAGAAAGAAGAAACGATGTGTTGCTGATCGGAGCGAAAGNTATTTTGTCTTCGCTACCATTCCTTCCTTGTTGGACTGTTCGTGCTCATAAAGTTCTTGGTACGTCATGTTTCTAAAAATTGTAGTTGGGTTCGTGATTCCGAGCTTGTCGATGCCCGCCTTCTCGCAAGCATCTTTTCCTCGAAAGGTTTGTGACACGTGGTACGAATCACGGCATTCGGTATCATCATTGTCGTCCCACGCCAAAGAACTCTTTTGAGCCCGTTGACGRSTGACATATTTTTGACTGTCATAGAAAATGCTGCGACTGAAATGTTTTTTCTAACACCAATATGTGACGAGRTCATAGCAGATGAAATATATTAGTTACTTGGTTGATACAAATACTWCTAGTGATGGAGAGAAACATGGTCAGTACATATTGCTTCACGTACTACTAGAGGGTCAAATGCCGATGCATTCCAAGTCGCACAGTTCTGTGCTGTGGTRGCGAATCCACGGRCAGCCATCTTGGCACCTTGACGGAGGAGGTGTTTGTTTGTTGACATGCCGATAATCATAGTGAGCGAGAATTGTTCTTCTATGGGTARGTATGATAATAATAGAAGAGGATCGTCGTTGTTGCTCTCGTATCCAACAGGGCTGCAAGCGTCGATTCAAAGAACCTGCTGTCGTTAAAGAAACAGTTCTGGTTTTGATTTCTGTCGAAAACAAGTTTGTGAATGTTGGGAAAGGACCTACGCTTCTCGATGCTTCTAGATRGAATCAATGAGGCGAGCCGGTCGGAAAAAATGTGAGCGTCAGAGAAACGCAGGCACTGACACACGAGAAGATGATGATGGTGTATCGCGTTGCGGATTCTCGTGAAAGTCTCAATTTTTTTAGCTTGAGCAGWACGGTAATACKTAGTGTAYGGTATGGTACTGTACGTACCCTACAGAATAAAAATAAAAAACTGCTGGTAGCGCGCACGACTGACCCGGAAAAGTGACAGAAAAGTTGTCACTGTCACCTCAAGATTTGCGAACCAGGATAACTTAGAGAGTGAGTCGATTCCGGCGCACGAGAACTAGTATTCTCGGACAACCGTACCGGACGGTAGGCTGCGCAAAGGAAGTTTCGTTCTGTATCCGAAAGGCGCTCTTACCCGCTGGAGTAAAAAGGCACGCGTCGTCATCTGAAGGTCCCATCTTACTTCTACGACCTGTCCGGTGAATTTGATTGATATTATGGAGGTCACAGGGTCATCAATCAATCAATCAATCAATCAGTCAGTCAGTCACCCAATAACATCAAGCTTGCGTTCAGGAAGATTCGAAAGCTGTCAATCAAACACGTAATATCAATATTGCGACGCGTCATTGTTCCTGTGTCACTGTTACCGTGTCAAGCAAAGCAGACCGACTCTTTGTACCGAGAAATACCTCTGTCCGCCTGTTCGTGTCCGTGTAGTGCGATATCACCACTACCGTCGCGAAGTTATCATCTTTTTTCAARCAAAGCCGAGCAAAGAACTAARATTCATGGCGACCCGAGACGGCACGAAGGACGAAGCAAATGCTGGCRTGGTTGCCGAGCCAATGCCGGGGTACGAAAAAGACAACACAATGGCCATGTTCATCATGGCGGGAATGGTGGTTTCTTCCGCAGGTTTCGCYATGTACACAAGGCAGRCAGACTCTTTGCTAAAGCGAATGGGACGTGCTAGTAAARTACAAGGACTCGGAAACAGTGCTTCTTACAAGGTGGCGAACCCCAAATCGAAGCTTGTCTCGAAGAAGTCGTTAGAAACTAACAACAAACGAAAAACATTCCACGAGAAAGATGATATCTTTTGAAACACAAGAATCGTATTCGGGTCGTTGGCACAGTCAGTCGCGGGTCATGCAGGAAATCGATAAATTCGAATTCTATACCACACAACGAATCGAGGAACATTCGATCCAAAAGAAAAAAGGATGACGGATGTGACACTGCWWTTATAAATTCGAGCATCTTTGTGCTCCTAGAAGAGGGTCGTCTTTGTTAGGCAGCCATTAAGCAAGCCTAACGCAAAGCATAGCAATTGAAAATAGCAAAAATTGGTAACATGATTGTTGAGTCTTCGTGATGGATTTTCAGTATTCGAAGTACTCATAGTCTTCCATTGGTTCAAGCTCAGCTTCTAAAAATGGCGAAAATTCGAAATGCTCAGGAATCGAAAGCGATATCGACATGGACATGCTCATTGCAGTGTCGAACACTGTAGGGACATGGGATCTGGTTGGTGATTCGATTGGTAGAATTGGAGGTTTTGTTTGCAACGCAATCGGGACATTTGTTGGCGATAGGATAATAGGCGYTGGTTTATCTGTTGGTCGTTTCGATGATTGCTGCATCGGTTTAAGGGTTGGTATACAGGATGGGCATTTGGAAGCCTGGTCGGTTGGTTCTAYGGTAATATTTACAGAAGGAATTTCTGTTGGAGGCATACCTGTCGAGTTTACTGTCGGCGTTGGCGTAGAAGAATCAGATGGGTTTTTACTTGTGCCTCSAKAAGGTTCTTGAGATGGCAGAGATGAGGTTGTCAGTGCTTGGCAATGTCCTAGTATTGGGTCGCTTGATTGGCCCTGTGTGGTTGATTCGAAGCAGGGAAAGGCAGCACGTATTTCAGTTTTTTTTTTTCCATTCTGGTGTGAGACGATTTTGATGAACGAAGAACAATTTCTCGAAAAAAAAAAAATATATATTTGGAAAAACTTACAAACACCACCCAACCAACACTTTCACCCATTCGTAAGACTGGTGATGTGTCACATTCGTTGGTAAATGTGATGATGAAAACATTCAGTAGCGAAATTCCGTCTTTGTTTCTCCCTCTGAGATTGAGCTGAAGTGCTTTAGGAACCTGATCTTGCTCAATACTCGCTGCAACTTGTAGATTGTTGATTATTGACGAATATCGATATGATTCGCCATTGAAAAGTTCCCCATCTATCCTCTCTTCCACAAGAACACTATTTGCTTGATCCAATTCCAGTATACTAACGCTATCAATCACAACCGGAACTAAGTTGTTAGTCGRTGCCCCAAAGGGACTAACCAAACACGAGACGCCTGCCACTCCAAACCCGGTAGTGATATTTGTAGGGGGACATGTCGAACTAAAATCTAGAACAAATGTATACGTTGACGGGCTGCAAGCACAGATTTTGTCAGCACTGACACTRTCAATTCCTGTGTCGTGCTGCGCTCTTGCTAATGTTGTCGAATGAGTGTCATTCGCATCAAAGGCGAGAAGAACCAAAAGCCCCATCACTAAAATTGTGACTGTTTGGACTAGCGGCGATATCAACATTTGGAAATTGCATATTTTTATTTTTTGAAATCGATTGGGAAACAATGTGGATCGGCATTGAATATTTCGTCCTCTTCTGTGTCGTCTGAGCAGTTCTTTTTGTATGCCCGCAGTGGTCATCGCTCTTGTACTTCCTCAAGCTTCATTGGAAAAATACCACGATAGTGACGAGATTTGTTGTGGTTGTTATCAGAATTTAAAAGCGATGATCACCGATTTGGCTGTTTCGGATATGATGATGGTTGTGAATGTGGTCGTGGAAACGGCTGATGGGCGATAGACGGACTCCATGGATTTCCGTTGCCGCATTTAGTGGCTGGGTTGCATTTCATTCCACCTTTTAAGTAAAGCCTATCGGCATCGGATTTATTGTCGAACCCAAAAGCTTGTTACAACGAATTTTTGTCGCGCTGAGTTTCAAATAATTTTTCGGTSCACGTTTGCAAATTTGGCGCGTTAGCCTCAGTCGTGCGCTAAGATTGCTCTCAATAACCAAGGAATCCCTAACGACTAGCGACTAGAGATTCGTACAGCAAAAATAGTGGGGAAGATGAGAAAGATCTCGTACGTATTGTAGGTACTCGTACGAGTATCGTACGTAGGTAGGTACGTAGCGGTACCCAAACGAATACACAACATTCTTATTTGTCGTGCGTAGTGCTTGGTCAAATCAAATAATGGTTTTTCGACGTCAAACAAAATGCAAAACAGGACATATTCCAACATAGCTCTCATCAACAGCATTAACTCCATTCATCACTCTGTATCGAAACAATGACGGCTAATTCGAAGAAGTACGACATTGTTCTTTTTGGTGTAACAGGGTTCACCGGTAAACGTAAGTCACTACACTCCGGAGAACAATGACCGACGCACACCTCTTGGTACCGAGAATCGGACCTATCGTTACAGTACTAGAAAGAAGAAACGATGTGTTGCTGATCGGAGCGAAAGGAAATGGATGACCTCATCRCAGCTAAGGGAAGGTGATCATCTCTTTMAAAAAATTCACACTGAGAKTATCGGCCGAAAATCTTTGAGATGCACCATGCGGTTTATCTGAAGAGGTATTGACATCGATGTGAAAAATCGCAATCGATAACGCCAAGAACGAAAGTTGCATTGTAGTGACGAAGAAATACTTGGCCGTGCATTTCACCTCACCACTTATTGATACCGTTGTCATTTTGTTTCGATCGAAAGTTGCTGCTGAGTATCTGCTAGATCGATGCAGAAACGACTATGCAAACCTGAGCTGGGCTTGTTCTGCTCGAAACAAGGCCAAAGCCGAAAATGTGCTGAGTGGATTGGTAGAAACTGTTGCTGTGAGGAGCGGTAATGACATTAGTAGCATATCTTCGCCCGAAATTCTTCAAGTGGATTTGCTATGCAAAACCGACGAGGAGGAATCGAAGCTAAGAAATATAGTTCAATCGACAAACGTATGCTTGACRTGTTCGGGTCCCTTCGAACTCTATGGAAAGAAATTGGTTCAGATTTGTGCCGAAGAAGGCGTCCATTACGCAGATATTACGGGAGAAACCGATTTTGTTCGTGAAATGATTGTCAAATACGACGAAACGGCTCGGAATTCAGGGGCTTGTATTATTCCCCACTGTGGGAATGATTGTATTCCATCTGATTTGACGGTCTTCGAGATGAATAGTTATGCAAAGAAAAACGGTCTCAAGCTCATCGAGGTCCAACTCTACGAGGTAAACAATCGTAACTTTGACCAGACGAAACGCTGTCGATCGCTTCCACCTCGYTGGCTACGTAGGCTTTCAAACTCACCGTATTTTGTTGTTAATTGCGAWTAGGAGCACGGAGCAGACGCAGCGTGGAGTGGAGGCACACTTGCTACTGCTTCGTATCAAATGGGGAAAAATAGAAAGAACATAAAGAAAACTGATTTTGATCCTCTCTTCACCACGGTGAGTTCGATTCTCTTGCGATGTTGATCCTTTTCCGTTGTTGAGATATGAATTGAATCTAGTTTTGAGCGCTCAAACCTTGCAACCGCTCCACGTGTTSCGGTCGGTAAACTGTTTGGTATTCATTRTAGGCGAAAGGATCAAAGTCAGAATTTATTACGAAGAACGCTACMCCCAAGAAAAGTGCCGACGCAAAAGATCAGGTTGGCTACGGGACTTCTCAGCCGTGGGTGATGGGTCCRGTCAGTAAGTTTTTCTTCTACTATTTTCTTTGACGTGAATCTCTTTCCCCTCCACGCAAAGGAAGGCATTGTATTGTTATCATATTCATTCCTCATAATGTATTCGAATATTGTATTCGTAATTACCTTCATGAACTCTGTTGTATGTTGTATGTTGTATATTTAGTGGTGAATTGTATCAAGAGATCGAAGTAAGTAGAGAACGAATGTTTTTTTTTCTCGTCATATATCTCTTGGGTTCTCTCACATCTTTCTCACTCTAATGGAAGTGCTCTAATGGGTTACGCAAAAGATTTAAAATGCGGTGATTCTTTCCTCGTCAAGGAGGATTCATGGAGCGCGAAGTTCAAACTTATCAAGAATGGTGCTATATTATATGCTGCAATAATGCTCCCACAACTTTTTGGTGCATTCGTGCCGCAGCCAGGTGACGGTCCAGATCGCAAGACAATGGAAGAGGGKTCCTTGACGGTACAYGGGATCGCGACCATGGTTAGCGCAACAGCTGCGAGTAGTGGCAGTGATGAGAAGATCAATAGTKTTGAGAAAAAGGTCAAATCCACGTTCCGTTTTAATAAGGACGTCTCCTACTTGTATACTGCCGTTCTTTTGGTCGAAACTGGAATGCTTTTGGTAGAAAAGGCCTCAAGTACAGAAGCTAGCCTCAAGGGTGGTCTTTTTACTCCAGCCTCGGCACTTGGAAGCGATTTAACACAACGTATTTTAACGGAAATGGATACCAGCATAGAATTGAGGGAATTCGATATCGAAGAATCAGATGATGGCGTAGGATTTTCTTGTTGAAGGAAGAGTATTTACTATTTTGTGATGACTCAAAATTGTACAGATACTTCTTTCATTTCAAGCAAGCCTGCTGTTGTTGTTGCCGATACTCAAAAAATCAGACGAAGAAATAGGAGTTTGCAGGTGGAAAATATTATTGCTTACTGCTCGAACAATAAAATGCAGGACAGTCGCGACAAAATTATGAAAGCCATGGTTGTAGACCATCATGCCGGCACTTTAATTTTCAGTAGATTTGTATGAAGACTTTGTATGAGGATTCTCTCATCATGATGCACTGACAGAATTCATAGAATGAAATTCAAGATGAGAGAAATGACAATTTGCCTCCTCATCATGCTGGCACTTTAATTTTCAGTAGATTTGTAYGAAGACTTTGTATGAGGATTCTCTCATCATGATGCACTGACAAAATTCATAGARTGAAATTCAAGATAAGAGAAATGACAATTTGCCTCCTCATCATGCTGGCACTTTGATTTTCAGTAGATTTGTATGAAGACTTTGTATGAGGACTCTCTCATCATGATGCACTGACAGAATTCATARAATAAAATTCAAGGCRAGAGAAATGACAATTTGCCTCCTGATGACAAGCATCATTGGTGTAAAGTTGCTTCTTGGCAAGWATTACTACTACTAGTTGCCAGCAACAATTTCAACATGAGCGTTTATSCCTTGCTGGCTTCCTTCCACCAAAGAAGGGGGATAAACTTCAAATTAGTTGAAATTACWAGGTGCAAGTGTTGCAGGAGGGCCAGAATGCGAGGTACCAATAGGAGCATYAGCTACTGCTGTTGCAGCAGCTTGTCTCCTATCAGCCCTAGTACTAGCACCACCAATAYGAAGGGCACTTMTTCTCTAACATTCTTAGTAGACCATTTCATTGTCACAAACAAATAATTTGGATGGCACAAGCTTTCATTGAATGGGCAKCATCATCCATCACACACATCATATACGAATGAAAATTTAGCATTGMTTGGTGCCTTGTCCCTGAGTTGAAAATATTTCCATTATCTGAATAAACTCAGAGTTGGTTGCCTCCCTGTCTGCTTCACTTGCCTTCCCAGAGCCTCTTGTCTCAGACTTTGTTGCTGCAGCAATCAACTGATTGATTTGACAGGTCTTGTTGGATTCCCCTTCCCACTAATCTCATCCCAAGTAGACTTAGTAGTAGCCTCTTAGGATTATCTGWATTCCCTGGATCCACTTTTCCATAGGCTTGTATACTAAAGCACTGGTAGATATCTTTGGCTTAATGGATGGCATCTGCTCATCAGCAAATACATGACCAAACTCATACACACAGTTATACTTGAATTCCATGAACTCGCAAAAGCAGTTGTAGTAGGTGCCAATTGCCTTTGTGGYATTGACAGTTAGTACCTTTGTTTCTGGAATGATCCTCTTCTTCTCCCTTCCTCTTGAYAATTTCTTCTTTATGCTTGTTCTCTTCCTTCTTTCTTGCAGTACCAGTCCTTGTTGTTGCTGTGCTATTTGTTCTGCTACTGGCACTGCTGGCATTGGTACTGCTGACGTTGGTACTGCTGGCGTTGCTGCCGGCATTGTTGCTGCTTGCTGAATCTCCCCCCCACTGTACAAGTCTGGGTCATCACCATCCATAAGTTGCAGTATCTCTGATAGCATTCCCCCATTGTTGCTGCTGCTTACTGATTTTTTGCCAGGTGTTGTATCAACCACTAAACTGGATWAAATATGGGTTCCACTGGGTGCTTTCAAGCACTGAAAGGCTTGCTAAATTCACAATGRAGATGATAGAGGAATGAAGGTGCTTGGAGCATCCTATATGAAGTGTAAGTGCTCAAAATACAAGAGGGGATCAATATGGTCAGTTGGTTACAAAGAATTTGAGTTTTTGGTTAGAATGAAAAGAGATATTTGCTAGGGGGGGAGGGGTATACAGGAATTGTCAACACAAATTTAGTATTAGAAATTGATCAATGTTTTTCATGTGGGAATGTGTATCATTTCTTGTATCTCTCAGTTGTTAGCATTTATACTGTAGTACTTATTAGGTGATAACAGGCAGTAGTTGATTTCAGTTTACAGGTTGGTGAAAGGGTTCTACCAGTCATTTAGGGACCAGACTTGGAGCAATGCGAAGCTGGTGCTAAGTACTTTATCAGACGATATTGATGAAAATGGTAGGTTTCACAACTGGTTCAAATGAATCCATATTGACATTGACAAGAAGTGGTTCTATTTAAAAGAACAAACCACCAGATGAAACTGAACCCAAGTCTAGTACATCAAAGAAGTCAAAAATCCATATGACAAAGGTTGTGCTTTTGTGTGCAACAGCCTCTCCACATTGGGATACAAAAACTTACCTCCTATGCCAATCATCGCGCTTGTTACTATCACTACTATGCTTGTTGTTGTTCTTCCTCAACAGCACCACCAGCAGCAGCAGCAGCAAGAACTTGCATTTCTGCTGCAATGCAATCGGGCTTGCAAATAATCAAAACTGAGAGCACACCTGCATGCATCAGGCTTGCTTTTCCAAGATGGGGAAGCTTGTACTTATTATCACCCCCAACACCAAGTGAGTCTTGCATACAAGCCTGCAGAGACAAAAACACATTATTCAATGTTTTGTGCTTGCTCTCATCAAAAGCTTGCTTTACATTTTGAATCTTTACATTTTGAATCAAATGATGAATCCCCTTTGATCTTTTCTTGTACTGCAAGCTTTGAATCATATTGAAGAATCCAAGATCAAGAATGTTCATGTCTGGACTGTTTGGTGTCTGAGTTTTTACATGAATATTCCACCCAACTATTTCTGCAGCTTTTGCAACATCATCTCTGATTGACAGCTTGTGTGGCTTTGCACTGTCTTCCTGAATGAAAATCTCAGGAGGAGGACTCCCGTCTGCTCCTCCTGGCCACTTTTTGTAGATTGCAAGAAGCACTTCTTCAAGCAACTTCTTTTGCTTATACACCTCACCGTTTACATTCTGTGGCTTCATGACTAGTAGGGTTCCTGCTGGACAGTTGAAATAGTTTCTTTTTGCTGATTCTTTAATCACAAAAGGCCAGATCCCAWTTTTTCCATCAAATCAAGCATTGCAGTGCAAATCAAACCTTGGACATGCTGTGGTACACAATAACATAACCTTTGTCATATGTTTTTTAGACTTTGATGTAGACTTAGGTTCATTTCCATCAGCAAGCAGATATGTTGTTTGTGTACTAGTCCTCTTCAAGTAGAACCATTTTTCATTGATATGAATCCACTTGAACCAATCGTTGAATCTTCCACTACTTGCATCAATGTGACTCAATATTCATTCAACKTGTTGGAGTTTTTTTGCAGGAGTTAGTACTAGTGGCTTGGTACTCCTGTTGTGCTTTTTAATGTTGCCACACTTTACCATACAAAGAAGAGATGTCTTTGGAATTCSAGTAGCAGCAGAAAGACTTCTTAGGTCACCTCAATCTTTCAGCAGAACATTCCTTACAACCTCATCCAATCCTTCCAAATGCTTGAGTTTGCAACCAGAGTTGGGTCGTCTACTAGTAGATAGCACATCACCAGCAGGGAAAGTGATGGGATCCATAGTAGTTTGCTTGTAGTACTGCCGTTTCCAAACCCTTGCAATTGTGCTTATTGATATATTGTAGTTTGATGCTGCTTCCTTGAGGGTTCCCCTTTCCAGAACCAACTCTCCAGTAGAGCTTCTTTGATGATGCTGCAAAAGATACTGAACAATGGCAACAAGTCTCTGATTGTTTGTCAAGTTCTTGCTCAGCTTTTTACTAGGAGAGGTGTTGCTGCTTGAGCAATTGCCACTGCTTGAATTGCTGCTAGTAWTTGGTGGTGAAGAGTTGCTGCTTAGTGAAGAGGCTGCAGTATTGTCAGCAGCAATGAGTAGCCTTGTGTCCGTAATCATCGTGTCTGTGTTGATTTGCTTTAGACAGAATCAAGGGGGGGGGAGTGAGTGAAAACAAACAAAATAACAAGCAGCAACAAAGAGACCATCTAATGGTTGATTGTTGATTGTTGATTGTTAATGCAAGAAATGCATGGCGAGTCAACAATGGTTACTTCCCCCCTCTTAATGGAGGCAACAAGAGGCGCCAAGCACAAGGCAAGTTGATGGGTCCCTTAAGAGTGGTGGAGACAATGTTGGTGCGAGGAAAGTCCATGGATCCCTTAAGAGTAGAGACAAAAGGTGCAAGGTGAGTCCATGGATCCCTTCTTAAGAGTGGAGACAACAGAAGCACAAGGGGAGTCCATGGATCTCTTAGTAAGAGTTGAGACAATGGAGAGCAGAGCAGCAGTCCAGCAGCGCCAGCATGCCAATGGATCCTCAGTGAGGTGCGAGGCAAGTTGATGAGTCACTTGAGGTGCAAAAAAGACAGTGCAAAGAAGCTGGACTTATTTAGTTGAATGGAAAGAGGAGCAAAGTKACAGAAAGGCATCAAAAAGAGGAAATTGGGAGGTGTAGTGAAATCAAGAGTGAAATTATCACTTGAAAATAAATCATTTTTGCACCATGCGCACAGCACTTTTTTTCTCTTCTTTGCATCCTATCTCCAGCTCAAAATTGAAAAGAACACATGAAAACTGCGCGCCCAAGTATGTGCCCAAACAATATTAGGTACCTCTAGTGAGGACCCACTATGATTTCATAAGAACCTTCTCAATAAGTACTAAGATAAGAATATCATGATAAGAAAGCTCTAAGTCTTACTAGTAGCTTTATAGCTGTATTTCTTGTTGCCTTTAAATGACTGGTAGAGCATAACTGACAATAAAATCAYATTCAAATATGCCAAAATGGACCCTGGTGTTTGAGTACTAGCTATTGCAACGGTGTCAGTCACATTCAATAGTATATTTGATATGATACATGACGACTGCATACTAACACCAGTGGTGTGTGGTAATAGATCTGTTCTTTAGTGCAAAAAGAAGCATTCCAATCACCCAAATATTGACCTTATTGCAAGTGTGTCAGTGCAGTACATTCAATATATTTGATATACATGTCTGTATAACAGTGTAATAGATCTGTTTAGTGCAAAAAGAAGAAGCATTCCAATCGCCCAAAAGAAGCATTCCAATCGCCCAAATATTGACCTTATTTCAGTATTAGATGTGCTAAAATGACCCATAGTGGACCGGGGGAAGTATTTCGTGCGAAGTACTTCTAGTAGAGAACACAACACAAAACATGGTACGTACAGACAACAGGCACGTATGAACCTAAAAACTGGATACTACTTACTAAATAATGTTCTTCGTAGAACCGTACGTGATAACTTACGAGAAAAAGAAAACGAACGCACATCCATTGTGGTTCATCCTTACTGACTTACCGCCGTACTTGATAGGATGTTAAAACTTACGGTATGTTAGCTACATACGGCGATACGACGAAGAATATGAACAACGGCTCGCATTCACTCTAGTGGAGAGTAACACGCATATTTGTGAACATAATTTTCGATCACACGTTTTGAACAAGGAGAAGTATCAAGATGGCACCAAAGAAGGGAAGCAAGAAGCAGAGCAAGCCTGCTGCCGTGAAGAAATCGGCCGATCCTCTTTACCCCTCCAAGGCCAAGACCTTCGGAATYGGTGGAGACATCCGACCCCAAGGACGTGACTTGAGTCGATTCGTCAAGTGGCCCAAGTATGTTCGCATCCAGCGTCAACGTGCTGTCCTCTACCAGCGATTGAAGGTCCCACCTTCGATCAACCAGTTCACCAAGACTATTGGAAAGAACGAGGCCATGACTGTCTTCACTCTTTTCAACAAGTACCGACCCGAGACCCCTGCTGCAAAGAAGCAACGCCTCAAGGAAGCTGCCGCCGCTGCTGCCGGAGGCAAGGCTGCCTCTGGAAACAAGGCCCCTAACTGCATTAAGTTCGGACTTAAGCACGTCACCACTCTCATCGAAGAGAAGAAGGCTGARCTTGTTCTCATCGCATGTGATGTCGATCCTATTGAGCTYGTCATGTGGATGCCAGCCCTTTGCCGAAAGATGGAAGTTCCATTCATGATTGTCAAGGATAAGGCCCGACTTGGTGCTTTGGTTCACCAAAAAACCGCGGCCGTCGTTGCCCTCACCGGTGTCGGAAAGGAAGATTCCGCCCAACTCAACCTTCTCAAGGAATCTGCCCTCGAGCGATACAACAACAACGCCGATTTGGTCCGCAAGTGGGGAGGTGGTGTCATGGGACTTAAGACCCAGGCCAAACTTGAAAAGCGTGCCAAGGCCATGGCCATCGAAGAAGCCAAGAAACTTGCTTCTCTCGGAAAAGCCTAAGCAATAGATAGAGAATAACTRTGTATCACTACTTGTACAACAATCTTTGGCTGTTGACATGCCCGCYGTGGCATCGAGGCTTACTCTGGAGTACTTTCTAGGTAATGATATTTAGTTTGTGTTAAATCCCCCTAATAGAGAAGAAAAGTMTGTGACATGTGTGCATGATCCTGCCTGGTGGTGGGTGCAGGCTTCAAACCTGTAGACGGCTAGCGCCGTAGTTGTTCGATTCAACCTTGCGCACGAATATTGGAAACCATCACCTCTTTAAGAATTTATCGTGTCGATAAGGTGCAGTGGGAACAATTGCCAATTCATGCATGGTAATTTCTGACCGTAGTACAAACTATCAATCGCTGAAGACCCTTGAGTGATTACATTTTCTCGTCTTCGATCATATTCCAAAATTCTTTTTCCTTGATCCTACACTTTAGTCAAGTAGTGTCGTGGAAAATGAATTTGGGAGACAGAAGAGTTCTCACCGTAACGACCATGCYAGAGGATGATAACAAGTACTTTTTTCTCAGATATTAAATATTTTAACGGCAATTACATCAACCTGTTGTAATGCAAATCTTTCGAGAATAGAATAGAATAAAACCCTTTCCCCAACATTTCAAAGCGCCAAATTCCCATTCTGCCGAACTCCGTTTCATTCGCTTTCTTCCGTCTGCTTTTTGGCTTTCTTCGCTCTCATACTTTCAACTTCCTTCTTGGTCCTCCAGAAGCGCACCGTCCTATCCTTGCTCATCCCCCCGCTTGCCAGCAGTTCRAGGTCATCGTGGGCATCTACAGCCATAACGACGTCTTTGTGCACCTGCTCCAAAACCTGGTGCACTTTTCGCGTTTGAACATCATAAAGCACAACGTGGCCCGATTCGCTGCCTGTAACAATACACTGCCTCCGTTTCGGTTGGGAAACCAAAAACCGACTGGCAATGCAGTATTTTGTGTTGGTATGTTGTTCGCTCGTATAYGTTTTTGCGCACTTGGATTTGCCGCTGACGGACATGGGCCACAGTCGGAGCGCGCTGTCGAGGGTTCCTGCTAAGACGTATTTCCCGTTGGGACTGTAGGTCACATGGCTCACGGGCGGATTCCCGGCAGCAAATACAGTCTTGAGGCACTCTCCTGTACCTACATCCCAGACTCTTATCAATCCATCGTGGCTTGCCGATACAACGCAAGTTCCGTCACGATTAAACGAAACGGCCGTGACCGGATCCGAATGAGCTGGAAGCGTGCTAATGCATTGTCCACTCCGGACGTCCCAAAGCTTGACCGTTTCGTCGAAGGATCCGCTCACCAATAAATTGCTAGCGGGATTGAATTGACAGCAAAAAACAAAATTGTCATGACCTCGAAAGTCAACGAGAGCCTCGGTGGTTTGGGCATCCCACAAGCGGAGCGTCTTGTCATCACTTGCTGTTGCTATGAATGGATCGGTTCCGTTCGACCAGCACACGTCGTTGATCCCTCGGCCATGACCTACCAGAGTTGCGCTCGACTGGAGTGGGTATTCGCCCCCACGATGTGCGGGGAATTCTGGATCGCTCAGATCCCAGATTTTGACGCTTCCATCGGCACTGGCCGATGCACAGAGGGCTGCACTGTGCTTTGTCAACCGCGAGGGCGCCAATTGAACGCTGGATACTGCTCGTTTGTGTTCGCCGTACATGGGCATGCAAACAAACGGGGAGGCCTCTGTATCGGATGAGGAAGATTCTTCAGCGTCATCGATATCCCTCTTCACACCCGACATTTCTTTTGTTTGAATAGTAAGGATGTTCTTTATTGTAATACTGTGTCAGAAAGTTAGACGCCCCCAGTGGTTAGTGCCTTGCATTGCATGTTTCATCTCKGGTATCACGCATCTAGGACTCAACAGCACGAACACAAATAACTCTTACTCGTACTCGTACCGTCCGGTTCGTACGGTAGCGTACCAGGTACGTTCGTACTGGTTTTACTTTTTTGTCCRGAGTTCGTCTTCTCGTTGTGAGAATGATGTAATATGTTTCGTAGTTAGATATCTATGATCATAAGAGTACGATGATACAGTGGCAATAAAGCCGAAGAGCAAGGCGCCGTCTTATTTTTTTGTTTTTACGTGTGCCAATGCTCGGCCTGTCACATATGAATTCCACGATTGATTTGTCTCACAAAATCCRAGGCGTACGCTAGAAGCCGAGAGAAAMGATCACAACACAARATGACATATGCATTGACCCCGATAATATCCTCAACTCTATGGTTTGGAATCGGATTAAAATATTTTCGCAACGGTTGTTCTTCCAATAGCTGRTTTCCCTAAATGATCTAAAARTACGACGAATACACGCGCAAGGTTTGGCTCAAGAAACAAAAATATGATATGTCATTCCGATTCACATAGTGATTCACACAGTTGACACGATAGAKGATCGATTCCGCAAGAGACAAAAAAGAAACAAGTTTGGTTGGAACGACTGGTGATCTTCTTTTTTGGAAAGAGAGCCAAAAAGTAGCCGTTTGGCCTCGATTCCGACAACATCTTCTCGAATCAATGTGAGGAATCACCGTCAGTTCTTCCAAATCACACAATTCGTCATTGCAACTCCAATTRAACTAAAAARAGTCAATATTTACCATGCCAGCATCACGGAATTCAGCAGGAAACACTACCYTATCCTCCGATTGGGCGACCTTCAACCCTTATGGCGATGAGACTGGCACTRCCGATAACACAACTTCATCCTCTAACAGCTGGCCATTGGACGAGATCATGGATGACATCGAACAGCAAATGGAYCAACAAAGCGATGCCATGGGCGGCATGGCAAGGCAATTGGAGGGCATCGAAGTCTCTTTGTCTGATGCTCGTACTCGACACTCCAAGAAGAAGAAGAAAATTCCCTTGTCATCCTCGCGGCATACCTTGTCGTACAACAAGAGAAMTACCTACACTAGTAGAGGAAACTGCAACGATGAGGGCACTAGCGTTTGTTTTGGCGAAAACGTCAACCGCGTAAGCTACACCTCGTCACATCAGCACTCGATCAATCAGATCTTGCAACGCACATCCGAACTCAGACGAGAGAAGAGCGGTGATCGCGCTCGGAACACGATGCCCCAGGATTTKTTTCCTCCAACCCATGTTCAACATTCTCGTCGGTCCATTGTCAGARCTGAATTGAGTTCTTCGCGGCCTCGGGCAAGCAAGAACCGTGGTAATCCAAAGCGAATCCGATCCAGTTCGACCTGGGAAGAATCTGATAGCAGCAACCTGTCGGGTCCTTCGGACGACGTGGTATCCGAATTGGGAGAGACTACCTTCTACTCGGATAAATCGAGCGGTTGTCTCCGATCCACAAAACTCAAGTATTTTTTGGCTGTCTTGGCGGCCATCCTAGTCCTACTGATAGGTGCTCTTACGGGGCAATTAGTACAACGGGGCAACCAACAAAACAGTACATCGCAGTTTTCTCCACAGCAGGAAACGGAACAGCTTACGAATGCAGAAGAGAATGCTTCATCGATTGTCAAAGATGTTCCTGAAAATACTCCCACAGTTGCATTCGAAGACAGTGTTGACGACGAAACGGAAGAAATGACCGTTGTCGGAAACGCCAAGGAACCCCCTTTCGAAGGCACAATTTCTTCCAGCGCTCTTCCGGTACCAAAACCTACAATTGCACCTACAGCAAACGAACCTATCGAAGTCGCACCGTCCACCAGTGGTGTTGTCAACCAACAAAATCCAAATGTTTCGGATTTMAAGCATGACTACACCGCCAACTCGGATTTCCTYGTTGGTGTTTATTATTACCCATGGCATGGTGAAAGATTCCACAATCGAGATGGATACATGCGCAAGGAACTTGAACCTCCACACGTCCCCACGTTAGGCGAATACAACGATTCCGATCCCAAAGTTATCGGCCAACACATGAAATGGTTCCGTCAAGCTAACATTGGCCTTCTCGTCACATCGTGGTGGGGGCCCAATCGCCTCGAGGATTCCAATACAAAAGATGTCATCATGCAACACGAAGACATTGGCAATCTTAATATCGCTATCCACTACGAGACCACGAGCAGGCTCGGAGCCGGGAAGGAAAAACTCCCCAATGCAAAGACCGACATAAAATATATGTGTGAAAACTATTTCGACCACCCCAACTACTACAAGATTGACGGCCGCCCGGTTTTATTCGTTTACATCAGCCGGAAACTCCATGAGGTGGGTACTTTGGAAGAAGCATTGCTCACCATGCGAAGCACAGCAAGTAAGTGCKGTCACAATATTTATCTCATTGGCGATTCGGTCTTCGAAAGTGCTCCCGACCCAAATGAACCCCACGTCCCTTTCTGGTACTTCGACGCAGTGACCAATTACGACGTCTATGGTTCTGCCGGACGCCCCGAAGGTCATGTGGGGATGGACGGTGTCGATAAGTATTACCGACAACAAAGCCAATGGAAAGAACAAGCTTCCAGGGACGAGTGTCGTTATATCCCAGCCGTTTCTCCTGGATACAACGACCGTGGTGTACGGATGCAGTCGGATCATCCACCGCTCTCCCGCCGCATTGGATCTAACACACAGGAAGGAAGCTTGTTCCATTACCAATTGAAACAAGCTAAGGAGCTAGTTGATCCAAAGGTAGACAACATGATTCTTGTCAATTCTTTCAATGAGTGGCATGAAGACACACAGATCGAGCCAGTAATGGGAGCTCCGTCATCCAAACCATTCAATTTCACGAAGGGTCTAGAATATGTTGGTTATGACGAGCTCTACTTGGATATTCTTGGCGCCGCGACATCTAAAGATGAAAGCCGTCACAGTATGTTTGATTACCTCTTTTCGGGGAGATGAGATCGAGCCTATCCGAATTGCACAACGTGGCTTTCACTGAAAAACAATAGTAGTGAATACATTCACAACACACATAATGAATACATAGAATGTACGTTCAAGAACAAAAAATACCTACGACTTGTGGATAATGATCCATTACATCATTCAAATATGAAATACTAGGACAGCTTCTCTGTTTATCTCGAACTAGAACGCGAAACGGTCTATGCTCTGTCGCGGTTTGTCATGCACTTGCGCTCAATCAATGTAGTTTCTCTGTGCAACTGAAAGAAGAGATTAAGGCAATTTCYTCTTTTCGATCTCTGATAGCATGTTGTTTTTCATTTTCTGCTCGTATTCTCTAGGTATCTTATCAACGCTAAGGGTGAGAGAATCCAATTATTCTATGGGAAGGGTATTCTTTTTACAGCTGGTTGGATTTTGTGCGTCGCGGCAGATGGGATCTCGATAATACTGGCAGATGAATCGCAATTTGTACATAGGTCAGGCACACCRGCGGAAAACGGCGGTGACGCTCCCTCCAGTTTTAAAACGCACGCATCAATACTCTTTTCGTTTTCTTCTATTTCGCGCCTCGAGCTCTGCTTCGTTCTTTTSCCTCGTGCCGCGTCGTTCCGATCGGTTTCGTTTGTTGGCTTGACTTTGATGCTACACAGATTTTCTCTTGGCAGTCCGAGACAAAATAAACACGCTTCCTTTGTGACCTCTCGTGACTCGTATTCGGTCATCGATGTACCCGGTCCGCAGCCATCCCCTAGGACCAAAGATTCCGAGGTTGAACGTTTGGTCGATTCTGGCGTTTTGAAAGACAAACCGGCATGAGTCAAACTTGACATCGATGCGTCTCTGGTCCCGGTCGTTTGGTTTGAAATCAATGTCTACGACGAGGGATCCCTTGACCGGCAACGGTCTCTGGATCTGAACGTTCACAACATTTCGGACCCGGCTCCGCCTCAGATCGATTCCCTGGCTGCTGCGAATCGGTGCGAGCGTGGTCCCCCCTGCGGCTTCCAGAATCCCCGTGCGCTCCAGGACGTCCTGTATTTCTCTGGGAAGGATCGGGTTTGCCCTGCCGTTGCTGCTACTGTCGTCCTCGTCATTCTGTCGGCGCAGCGGGTTCTGTCCCCGAAATGGGTTGTTGGAATAGCTCTGGTTTTCGAGGGGGTTGATAAACCTATTTGCGAGTCCCCCCTTGACGTATTGTTCGCTCGATCTATCCTGGGCTGTCCACAGTAGTTCCCAGTTTCCGGAGAGTTCCGAAAGCACCGATTCATTTGACGTTGGGCATTCGTCCTCTAACGTTTGAACAGCGGCCAAGATTTTGTCCGTGAGGGACCTTGAAGTTGGTAGATTGCTCGGAACAGAGTCGAGAAGAGCAAGAATGTCGTCTACTTTTTGGCTTGTGCCACTGAAAGAATCGTTGACATCGCCRTCATCCTTGACTAGCAGACTGTCAACATGGTCCTCATTTTTCTCTCCAMRAATCGATTTGAGTGGCAAGTGGGAGAACGAGGAGGAGGGGATCCATCCAAGAATGGATGGTGCCTGGGTGGGTTTGGGTTCTGTAAGATGGTTGTAGGCTATCAGAGGCGACGATGACGATGGCGAAGAAGAGGTGATACGACCAATCCTTGTGAAGGGTTGAAAAGTCATTACTTCCAAGACAAAGAAAGATTCGATTGCWATCACAAGGGCCGATGCCACCCTGAATTTGAAGCGTGACCTCATGGTCATGTCTGTTATCTGTCAATTTGTGCAATTTCGTGAAGATAAATGGCTTTTCAAGTATGACAAAGTCAATCGATTTGTTGTGCCATCTCCGTGTATTGGGCGCCGTATTTTGTTCTTTGGTTCTATGATTCGATGCCTTGTGTTGTTTCGTCCTGTGCCGTTACATGAGGAAAACATTTGGTGTCAGAACTTAGATCGGCAAGGTAGTAAGTACATYAGTAGCTAGAGTTCTTGCTACGGTACGTGCAGTACAATATTGTAGGTTTCGTATCCACRGAAGAAAATTGTTCATCTTGAAAAACAGAGGGAAKTCAGAAACCGAGAAAAAAAAAGTGAAAGATGCGCTCTTGTTGAGATGATGCTGGCGCTGGAGRKCACGGGSRGTAAAGTACAAGTAMTACTCGTACTGACATCATTCGTTTTGACACCCAACATTCCTACGGACAAAGACAGACGTGCGTGCAGGACCGTTTGAAAGAAAAACGGAGAGTAAAGATTGGAAAAATTCAAAATTCGTTTTCATCCGCGACTAAATTTCGGAATCGCAACCGGGGCGGGGCGGGAGTTCGAGGTACCGTAGGTATGTACCRTATGTACGAGTATTGGGCGTACGAAAGACATCCGTGATGGCTTTTCAAAAGTACGAAYTTCTACGAAGGACAGGTACAGCTGTACAATATTACTACTGAAGTACTGTAACGATAGACTCAATGAATTCTATCCGCGATAGACACGGCCGTTTGGTTGCACTGCATTCCATGATGTCAAAATTCGTTTTCATTGAGGACCTACAAGCCGGTAGTCAAATTTCTGTTTGAAACGATGTTCGGTCCGATCTGATTCATCCAATTCAATGGACACCAAGTAATCATGAAAGACTCGCCGTCAAACAGAGCGGCAGACAGAATGTCAGCGTTGAGTGCATCGAAGAGGAAGGGCACTCCGTCACTTGCAAAGAAGAAGAAAAGGCTGAAGCCTCCAGCAAAGAAAAAGGGCACAGAAACTCCAAGAAGCACAAGGGGTTCCTCGCTGTGGGATTTGGTACCCACTKCACGAGAGGCATTCGTGAAACGGATTCCTGCTCCGATATCCACCACCGCTTTGCGTCGTTGCGCTGCTCACAAGGCATTCCCAAAAGATTTTCAACGTAGCTTCCCCAGCATGATGGAGTTTTACATACTTATGTTGGAGCGCCAGTGTATATTCGGAAAGAACAAGAATGCCACATCCAGCAGAGTCCTGCGGGACTATCACTTCTGCAACAATTATAGGGAGCTCGATCGCGGGACGGCCTTCTTTCGATCACAGGTTTTACAACTGTACTTTGATGCTGGTGATGGCGGCAAACGATCGCATCYACAGCAGGACGAGAGCAACATTTTTGCACAAAGAGTTTCTTCCAATGGCTGGACACAATTGGACTGGACGGAACAAGTCCTCGCGATGTCGTACTACTATCGCCTTTGCAACCGCATCGATTCCTTCTCTCACAAAGACAACCCCCTGATTCCGTTGGGAAACATGATCCCTAGGTTGGGTCAATTCACGGACGAATTTGCGGCCTATGTGCGAAGCTTTAAGACTCGAAAGGAGGTATTTTTCACTGCGGCACACCAGACCACCAATTATGAATCGTATATATGCTGGTGCCAAGAGACGAACCACAAGGTCGACAGAGGCGACGACAAGGTGAACCGCGTTGGTCCCAGTATTCTAAGGCAACTAGCTAGCGASGTGCTCAAGGCRACCATAGCAAACGACGGCTATGACTTGCAAAGAGCATGCWATGTCATAACAAAATTGAAGGGTGTCCGAAACTTTTTTGCCTGGCAAATTGTCTGCGATTTGGAAGAATCGGGTTGTTTCGGTTCAAAAGGGAAACAATGCGATGATTTCTGCTTGTTGGGCCCCGGTGCCGAGAGTGGTCTAACGCGGATCTTTGGGAAGAAACTCGTTGATCGAGCACCAATGCAGCTCTGCAAATTTCTTCGAGACAATATAGACAYATGCTTASGTTTAGCTGGCCAATYATTTCCCTAYTGGAGAGGCCGCCCCGTGACGCTAAAAATGATTGAGCACAGTCTATGCGAATACGATAAATTCATTCGTATCGATGGCGGGAGCCGGCTCCGCAAACGCAAGAGTGCTTCCCATTCGGATGGCAGAAAATGCCAGAGGTGCCGCAAAACCGTGGGATTCCCGGCGGCCAAGGGCTCTGCGAGATGCGATTCTTGTCACGCAATGTTTTGTTCGAATTGCGCCGGCGACTACAAAAAAGAAAAAAGCTGCAACGAGCTCCACAAAAACAAGCTATATGCGTTCAATTACTGCAGCCGCTGTCACATTCTAGATATATTAGAATTTCATTGAAGATGCCCCGGAGGCTTATTGCAAAGTTGATAAATGGCAACAGTATTCTCCGAGGTTTTGGGTGYATTCAGAATACATATCAAAACGTCAATTTTCGTTCTCAGAGAGGGTGTTCTTCCAACCACTTTTTGGCCTCCGGTGSAAGTTCTTCCAAGGGTCCCACCTTTGTCAGAGTCATTTCGAAGTACAGCGTAGCTTTTCCAGGTATTGGCCCAACGCCCTTGTCACCGTAGCCAAGTTCTGGAGGCACAACTAGTTTTCTCGACTCTCCTTCCTTCATGTCGATCAGCGCAAGATCCCATCCCCGAATTACTTGGCTCACACCGGCTCGAACCTTGAATGGTTGGTCGCCAAAAACTGGCTTTTTGCTRCTATCGATCTGTTTCGCTTTTTCTCCGGTTTCTTCGCCCGGAAAGCCATTGATCCATAGCGTGTAACTGGTTTCAATTTTCTGTCCTCGCTCTGGCTTCGGCCCCGAGCCCTCGTTGGTAATGATGTATTTGAGTCCCTCGGGACCATTCTGATACTCCTGTGCCGCAAAAGCCACAGAAGCATCCAAAGCGAGAACGGAGGATGCTGCGGTCGCCGCCACAACCTTGGCAGAGTGCGCCAAAATATCACGGCGGCTACCGGTACTGGTCGACGATGGGAGCGACAGAGAAGTGACAGAACAAATGCTGGATTGGAGGACCGACAGAAAGATCGCCGATCCCACGACGGCAATTTTGAGAAAAGTCATTGCTGTTGACCTTTCCAAGAGACGGACGGATAATACCGAGCAATTCGAGGCGCAGTGTTTGATGCAACAGTGTTTAGATTCAAATCCGGATATGAAGCGTCCGAAAASATTGTGGGGAGTGATTTGATAAATGTACCAGTGCCATTCTCGTACCTACTCGTACTTGAAGTCGTAGTGTAAATATTACTTCCTACGTACTAGTATTATTTTTTGAACGTGACAAGAAGATACCATATCGTACCGTGCAGGTGTGGCAGAAACTACGAACTCGTACGATACGGTAGGTACTGGTACCTKGTAGGGACAAAAGCGAACAGGAGGGCTTGCAAAATAGATATTTCAACCGCACCTCAACCTGTGGAGACAGGCAGACAGACGAAAAATTCGCCCAGCGACCACGTCCCAGAATTATGTCCAGTGAGCACCCACCTCCTCTAGGGTTCAATATTTGGTGGGCAATTTGAATGGTTCCTTTYGCATYATACTCATCTCATCATGCAGAGAATTAGCCTTCACCCAGGGCAATTTTTCATGTTGATGATTTGATTTTGCTGGTTGAAATGATGGTGGTTCCAATGGTCATTTTCTTGATATGGTCGTGCTGCCCGCCCACTACTACCTCCACTAGTAGTAGTAGTAGTAGTACTTGCACATGATAGCCAAGAAGAGAAGGTAATTTTTGAGGCCATACTTTGCATTAGTATAGCTTGCTTTATTACATTGATCATTTGTATTCAACATCCTAATGAACATATTGGGTTCAGTGGGTAATTGGGTCATACAATTTTTATGCTGAAACTGCTAGTATTGGTAGTATCGTATGGAGTCGGCACTTAAATCTACAATCCAGCTGGAGATTATGGGCCCTCATTTTGTGTGTAATGACTAATTTGACTAATACATACATAATGCACATGCTCAGTGCTCAGTG